GTATTGTTATTTAAACATTTAGTGGAGGAATTCATAATGAAATAAATCAAATGACCATGTATATATTTTTATTGTTATTTTAAAAGAAAATACTTAGATACTTATTGTAGTTAATATAAAGTACGCTACTTTTTCAAACGTATAATTTGTACTGAACAAAAAAAAACTTAATAGAAAAAAAAGGTAAAGGTGTAAAATAGCCTCCAACGGAAAAGATTAAACGCGGATATTGGGTATTTAATTGATTTACAAAAAAAAAATATTTTTATATCCCCGAAACTGCATTTTAAATATACCGATTGCTAACTGAATTCGCGTCTTTTACTACGCAACCAAAGAGCAAATAAATTTTCCGAATGTTTTTCTTTCCTTTCGTCTTAATAAGAAATAAAAAATTAAGTTTACTTGCGTCGTCTGTCGTTTTATCTAATATGTTGTTCAATGTATACTCGTATTTTATCTCATGCTTTGAGTTTTCAAACGACGTTTAGTTTCTGAGTCTTAACGAAGTGACGTACTTTTTGTTTCATCTGTGATTACTGATTAGGTTTTTTTTTGTGTATGTTTTTCTTTTTATATTCGAATTGTCAAATTGTTAATATGCCTAAAACTACAGATTTTTAAGGATCTCTTATTTTATATTATGTAACAATCAGCGATTCATATATTTTCTATTATTAGTTTTAGCATTAATTAATGAACGCGTTTTGATGAATACATTTAGATGTACTAATGATAATTTAAAACATTTATTTACCATTGAACAATTTCAAAGGTAAATAAATGTTTCTTTTCTCGGTCTAAGTCTTGGTTAGCCATTCAGGGAGTAAACGCAACCAGCGTTCTTAACATTACACTGCGGGGAGTAGGACTATATTATAATTTTAATTTTAAAAATAAAATGCAGGGTAAATAAATCTGTGTCTAGTTAAAGTAGATATGTTTTACTGATAAAAACATTATTATTACCATTAATTGTTATACCGTAATTAACATGTTAAAATACTCACATGCTGAGCAACTTTCATTGCTAGGCACATTATTTTTGGTTGTAGTAAATAAATTAATTAATTAAAAATAATTTTTAAATTAAAGTTTAAGTTAGTCTAAATAAAAGTTAAGTATATCAAATTCATTGTCTTTAAATATAAATTAATCTGTGATATGTTTCTAGAAAAACGATGTAAGAGAGATCAACCAATAATACAAGATGCGAATGCTCATAAATTTACTTTGTACGAGACATCGTTTTTACGAATTTGAATCATATAATGGCGAGCCGCACTCACCGAGATAAATCTGTTTCTAGTGAATTATGAAGAAATTGTATCTTCATCTTCAAGATCGAGAAAATATTCTTAAAGATCGAGACAATAAGCGATAAACGTGTAAAATTACTTCATTCCGAGAAATGTGGCTGCCATGAATCCGCATTGCCTATGCGCTACGTCTAATTAGAGATGTAGGTAGTGATTCCGCTCGACTTTGAATTATTTTCGTAATTTTAATTAAAGTACTGGCGCGAATCCTTTGAGGTTTTCTGTTAATTTAATTTTTTAGAACGTATTTAACTCTGCTGTAATAATTGTATTGAATTTTCCAAATCTATTTAGCAATGCAATAAGAACAGTAATACACAATTGTAATAAAACAGCTCTCATAGCTATATAGAGTTGATCTTTTGAATCCCGCGTCATTTAGGGTTAGTTAAGCTGCTTAAATGATCGTATGTTCTAAATCGCAATAGCAGCCAGAGGAACATGAATTGTAATTTATAATTGCCCTCTTGCCCTCTGGCTATTCGGTGACGAATTGTCTGACAATATTGCAAATGTATTGGTCAAGGCAAGGTTAAGATTTGTAAACTTGCATTGATTTTTATTTCGGCAGACAACGCCCTATTAATAATTGGATGAGGTGGACATAATGTGATGTATCTTATATTGATTAAAAAATATATCGGCCTATTTTTTATTTATTTAAATTCAATCTGTTTTCATCGTAAAACAAAAAACTCGTAGCACAGAGGCCCCCTAATTTATATGCTAACATGTAAAAGTTTCTTGTACGTAGACTAAGTTATTGTAAGTAATATAACGCCGCGTAGTGACAGCGTAAATAGAATCCATTACACTATATAGGCGACTGAGGGAAATATACTTATCATATACCTAATCAATTCAAAAAGATTCTATCGCGCTTAATTTTTTTATTCCCGACGTTTTGGGCACTTTCTAGCGCCCATGGTCACGGAGGGGGAGGGGGGTCTGAGGTACTTGACGTCCCGATGTCATAGTTAACGATCTTCAACTTTTAAATATTAATATTTGGTCGAAGCCTTGCAGTAGTATGCTTGGGTTTCGATTTAATTTTATTAATTATGAGAATCCAAGCAGACGGTAGCACCTCGCCATATTCTGGATGTTTTTTTTTTTCAATATCAATAGTCTCGCGAATCATCGTCGGTGGGAATCAGTGTTCTTTTGTGAGGATTTGTGGTCTATCAAATCTGATATAATAGTTGGGACGGTGCTGAACATTTTGACATACTGCAGACTTCCTGGAGCGTCAGTGCTTCACATCAGCAATATGTTCTTTCACGCGGGTTTTTATGGATCTTTTTGTTTGTCCTATGTAAGAGAGACCACCTTCACAATAAAGTTTGTATACTCCTGCATTTTGTCGAGGATTACACTTAACGGATGATAACAACTGAGTAATCATCTTCTGCGTCTTATAAATTGTTCTAATAGAAGCCCGCTTCAAGATGTAGTCATTCTTGTCTGTGACTCCTCTGACATATGGTAGTACAGCAGCGACACACTCGACTGTGGCCGGTTTCACTCGGCGACTGTGACGTGTGACGGAGGCGAGGGATGTAGTCGTTCTTATCTGTGACTCCTCTGAACAGCAGTGACACTCTCGACTGTGGCCGGTTTTACTCGGTAACTGTGACGAACCACTCGTTGTCGTGCAAAACTTGCTTGACGTGCTCGGGCTCTGTGGCCAGGTGTTTACTGTCACAGATCCCTTGTGCTCTCTGAAACAAAGATTTTCCCACGGTAGCTAACTGTGAAGGATGCTAGTGAGGTTCATCGTTTAAATATTGGTTAGTATAGGTATTTTTTCTATACACAGAATGACTGATGGTGTTATTAGGATTTCGAATGATTAAAACGTATAATAAGGCTAAAGAATTATTTGCTTCTAACTCCATAGTGAATTGAATTTTATAGTTTATGGAGTTAAGGTAGTCCAGAAGAATGCAATAACTTTGTCTGATGGTAAAATTGTGTGAGTGTCGTCTACGTATCGATTGTAGAATCTGGGATACACAGGTGCAGTGAGGAGGGCATTCTCCTCGAAGTCCTCAATGAAAATAGCGGCGAAAATAGAAGATACACGTGAGCCCATAGCCACACCATCTACTTGCATGTAGAACTCCTCTTTCCACAATAGATATCCAGTTGTGGGGAAATGTCTGAGTAGTTCTGCATATTCCGCAGACATGTTGTTTTCTTCTAGCTTAGACTAGGAAGTCACAATTGAAATGCAGTCTTCAATAGGTGGTCATGTAAAAAGTGACTGGACATCAAAACTGACCATAGTTTCCTTTGTCGGCAAGATGTCGGTCTTTTATCTCACTGAGAAAATGGTATGATAATTGATAGAATCAGGCGTTACTTTGCGGAAATCCATTATAATAAAAAATAAAAATATAAATTTCTTTGCAACCTTCCGCTAAATAAATACAATGATGTGTCTTACCTGGATTGAAGAGCACCTCCCGCCCTCCCTCAATTGCATGCACTAACTCCGTCACCACTAGTCCCAGCACCACTATTCCAGGTAAGACACACCATCGACGATAATACGACACGTGTTTCGCCTCTACACGAGGCGTCCTCAGGTAATGTAGACTCTACGGCGGCTGACCGCTAAGTGACGAAGTGTAAGTACTTAGCGGGCGGGAGGTGCTCTTCAATCCAGGTAAGACACATCATTGTATTTATTTAGCGGAAGGTTGCAAAGAAATTTATATTTTTATTTTTTATTAAAATGGTATGAATCGTTTGTATGTGCTCTTGCGTGTCCTCTCAGTGTTGACAGTTTTTATGCTAAGTGTTGCCAACTTATACGTGAATCAATTCGACTCACTATGGGACATAGTGGAAAGTTCGGTTTGTATATTTTGGGTAACCCATACAGCTTTGGTGGTTTGGTACATAAATGGTGGTATTATCGAATTTACGTCATTTATATAGTATAGTATTTTTTTATTAGATCGCTAGTTGTTTTAAGCACATTGGTTCTAGGGTTTGTTTTGATCTTTTTGTACGTACTTTAGTCCGCTGAAAGTTGTTGTATTTTAAAATAGTAATCTGACGTATTCTACCGCTGTATTTCCTTTATCTGCGCGGAGAATCGTGAGCTCTCTGGTTTGTTGCGTAAGTTGTACAACACTTTAAACTCGTCTTTGGGGAAATTTAGTTTCGGCGCTGAACTTCGACGTAGCAAGGAAGAAATGTCTTTAAGTATGTCCTCCAAATCTTTCCTCTCCACATTTTTTTAAACAGACAATCAATCAAACGTCGGGAATTAAAAGAAAGTTAAAATTGAACGCGATGAAATCCGTAAAATTAGTTTTATTCCATGTTTTAGTATTCGCGTAAATGTAAGAAATCATTACAGTTAAAAATATTTAAAAAAATACTGTGGTAGCCAGCCCGCTAATTAATCGTGGTAACTATGGGAAATATCCCCCTTATGAGGTAATCGATAGGGGGGGCCTATGTTAGGCAATGGAGTTTTGATGGGCTGTAGTAATGATAGTGATGACGTAATGTACAATAAATGTCCAATTATGTAAGAAATAACTAAGAACTTTTATACCTAAAAATTCGTAATTACTCAGAGTTTTAAAAACAATGGAGCGTAACGTATATGATTTGTTATAATCTCTTAATTAATCATGAATCGATTCCATATGGGAACTGAGTTCACTGCTCTTGACTAAATGATTCATTTGGCTGCGAGCCACTCACTTTATCGTACGGAATTGCGAAATTCTGAAAATGAAGATTTTGTGATTTGATTCAATAATTACATTCTCTAATCATGCTTGCACTGCTGTTAAAAAGTATTTTTGTATATTTTTTGTGAAATATTTTTTATAACATTACAAAATGAATATTTTAATACCAATTAAGGGATTCATATGCTGATATTTGTCCTTGTGAAATTCATGTATGTAAACTGAAACAAAACCACGATACATGAGAAAATTGTAACGTTTTTTTTTAAAGAAAAAAGAAAGTAGGGGGAGACTGGGGCTGGTCGTGACATTTTTTTTATAGTGTCGTAATTTTTTGTTTGTTTAATTGTTTTACCGGAATGTAGGTTTGTTTGATTAAGTAACTATTCGGGTTATTAATTTAAAAACAATTTTAGGTATCAGACTATTAGAAGTGACATAAATGAATGAATTCTAGGAAAAGAGGCGTGTAACTTTAAGCCCCGCGCCAGGGGCTGGTTGTTACACTATAAGGGGCAAAATGTTACAACAAAAACCAAACGTAATATAACACTTTTTATTAAGAACAATGACAGTTTACTACAATTATTATGTCTACAATGTCAAAATACAATATCTATAACCCTTTAACGCGCAAGTAATTTCTTTTTCGTAATTTAATAGTTCTTGTAAAAAAATATATTTCATATAATAACAATGTCCATAAAAATAATAAAAAAATATTTTGAAAAACTGTTTTTGAGAAAACATATGTTAATTAAACTCAACATCACGAAAGATATAAAGAATTAAAGGTATGTAGAGACGTTAAGTATTTTCAACATTGCTCTTTTATGGATGACCAAAAATAAAACGAATACATTAAAATAAAAAGTTTACTGTTTTACATGGAAGTTATAGAAACAATTTCTCTTACTCACTAAGCATAGTCTCAAAGAACATTTGGTACATTGCATATTTGTGAAACCGTTTTTACAAAATTTGCACATACCATAGGGAACAAATACTAGCAAATGCCCAGTGTTATCGTATCGTACAGCATCAGGTGGTCTCGGCGCAGATGGTAATTGAATTTGGGCAGCAGCATTATTTTCCTTATTTGTGTCTTTGGGAACTCTATTTTTTTTCAATAGTTCTGTGCATACATTAATCAAGAACTATTTTAATGGCATGCACTTACTGAGTGATATTTTGTTATCTCTTTTGTATAACAGCCATGCATTATTGACACATATGTCTATGGCTTGCGAAAATATAGCCATGTACCACCTCTTGGTTTTGAAAGAACTGCGATAAATTGCGATTAACATATCGGCCAGGTCGACGCCCCCCATGTGCAAGTTATATTGTTTTATTATTTGAGGACAATCAACTTCTGCCCTTGTCTTAGTACCTTTCGAATAACGGTTGATTTTTTCAATAGGGTGCGAATCCACAATTGAACTAGCAAGAGTAACAGTTTTATTGACATGCCATTTTATAACAGCAATTTTATTTTTATTGCAAACCACTTGCTTGCTTGAACCCCTTCCTTTTTTTTTTGCCAAATTTTTATCTGTAGGTAGTTTATCTTCACATCCTCTCAGTCTATTGCTTTTAATTGTGCCCAAGCTGAATAATCCGCACTCGTCACGTAAAAAGATGTATCAATTCAAGTGACGTAAAAAAGTTATCAAAGTTTAAAATGCAGGTCTTTTCTGTATAGTCTTCGCCAGAGCCAGAACCACTTTAGCCCCTAAGCCAAGGCTGTTTTCATACTCGTTAAATGACATGCCCCTAAAAGTATCGTCACCACCATATGGCAAAAAAATCATATACTAGCCCCGAAACTCCTGCTCGTATAAACATTTTGAAGCCCCATTTTTGGGCTTTTTTGGCAGATACTGCCGGCGGCTGCCTGCCCTAGTGCCTTTATAGGGTACCATCATTTCATCAATGCTGTACCTTCCTTCTTCTTCAACTAATAGGCAGTTTTGTCTTATTTTCTCGAGGATGGGACGTATTTTAAAGTAACGGTCATTATTTGCATCGATATTATTCGAAAAATGGAGGTATTTTCCAATTTGTTCATACTTTTTCAGGGGCCTGACATCGGCAATAGGTGCATATCTTAACGTTTGACTCCAATAGTCCCTGTAAGATGTCATTTTTACTACTCCCATTAAAATGGTTATGCCGAGAAAGTCACGAATATCATCTTTGGATATATTTATGTCTTTCGCTTGCCCCCCTCCACATTGTGCAGCATATAAATTTGTTTGATCCACTATTAGATCTATAATATCTTGTGAAAAAAAAGAATAAAAGTAGTCAAGAGGAGATTTAGTATCGGTAGGTGTGCTGAATTGAAACAGGTCTTCAACAGTTCTTGCATATTTAAATTTACCTTTTGTCCATTTGAAATTAAAAGGTTTGCGAATATATTTTTTTACCTTTTTTGTTACTAATTTCGGTCTATTGATAGCTTTTCTTTTATTTGATCTTGTATTTTCCGGAAGTGCAGATAAAAGTGGCGAATTTAACGTAGGTAAGGTATGTAGTAACTCTGACCCCGGTCTAAATATCTCATTCATAAGTGGAGTCAATGGGACTGTATCTTCTTCGTAAGGAGATATGGGAGATTCTGGATTTTGTTGGATATTGGAGTTACTATTATCAGATAGATCGTCCAGGATATTTAAACTTTCTAAAGAAGACTCTATTGATTTTGGCTCGGAACTAAAATCAGATAAGTCATTCGTCTCAACGTGTTCTAGTAATTTAGTAACCTGGTCTTCATCTTCTGAAGTATTGCTACTATCAGAAGGGGCGCATGCAGGAGGCACCAAAGCCATAATACGCCTACTCCGCTCCCATTGTGGTTTTACCTTCAATAACCAAAAAAAGTATGCAAAACCCAAATAACCAAGCAAATATACTTAAAGAAATTCGCATAATTTCAAACAAACCCAAATGCATTACATTTAAAACAATAACCATTAAAAAGATAGCTATTAAAAACCATAACTCATTACCAAAAAAAAAAAAAACATAAAAACACCATATAAAACAGCATTAATGTTACTCTATGTGTCGGGCAACGTTGAGTATTCTTAACGTACCCAGTTATATGTACTTTAGTCTATGTCTCGTAACGTTAAAAATACTCAACATGCATCAAACGCTTGTTTTATTTCATTAGTAAATGCAGTTGGGGATGCAATAATAAGATGAAAACAAAGGTTAGTCATTTGCAAACACAATTATAGCAAAATAAATGTACAAATCTTATGACAATCGCGAAATTCAGAAATAAATTACCTTACGGTCACGCATTGCTGCTGCACCCGACGCCATTTTGCGGCTAAGTATCAAATTTTGACGTGTAACGTGTGGAGATACTTTTCTTTAGCTTGTCAGTTTGTTTGCCTCTCCGATTGCAAAGTGTTACCATATAAATAATCAACAATTTCTAACAATTAAATATTTTTATTAATAGTTGAGTATACTTAACATTGCGAATTAAAGGGATATAGCAGTCTTTTGCCTCATTATAACAAAAACAGTAACTTCGTTGAACAAAATTATAATCTTATCTTTTAGTCTTACGACTCATAAAAATAAAATTTAGGTAACTTCCAACCCGGTAGAAAATTATAAATTTCTTTATCAAACAAAAACTTAGTATGAATTAACAAAACATTTATTATGCCTCATCACATGAACAAAAAATAAATAAAGTCTCTCTTTAAAAAAACAATCAGATCCTAAAAGCTAAAAAACAGTTCAGTCACTTTAGTCTGAACAATCACTTTCACAATTCAAACATATGTAGGATATAACATTACCCTTAGCACATCTTACGTGTGACCATTTCTTACAAACAACACACTGTACCCATTCCTCACCAGCTCGACTTTGATCAAACGGTTCACAACATATCAGGCAAAAATAATCATCTACACTTCCTTCGTCAGACTCAGAGTCATGTAAGACCTTCCTTTTCACAGCAATCTTCCTTGTTTCCTTAGGCGTTTTTTCTCTCTTCATCTTTCCTGGCTCAGTTGACTTCCCTTTCTTAGTTACCTTTCTATTTTTTGATGTAATTTCCTTTTTCTTGCTCTGTTCTTGTGCCAATACATTTTTTTCCGGCGTATCCGTTAAAATAGCTGATTTGCGAGTTTTTCGTGTTACTTTATTTGTTCTTGCAGCAGCTTTTGGATAAGGCCGAATGGTATCGGGAGAAAAAGTCGTACATTCATTGTGAAACAGATCTCTGCTACAACCAGCAACTGAACCATAAAGGGAGCTTTCGCATTCTTCTGCAGCATCTACTACTTCAGTGGCCTCTTCAATAAATCCAGGTATAGGAGGTATAGTATTATCTTTGGAGGAATGTGGAGGAGTTGGAGATAGAGTCCCAGGGAAATTAATTGGAGTAATCTCTGTTATAACAGGCGTGTTTTCAAGATTTGAGTTAGCAGTTTCGTCTATTGGTCTGTCAGTAACAAAAGCAGACAAGAAATCATCTTCCTGAAAAATATCTTTATTAAATGGTGCAATACCAGTCTTTTGAAATCCGTTGATGATGTTAGCCGGATTTAGCGCTAAGGGCAAAGCTTTACTCACTATAGATGAAATATTGTGAATAGTCATTGTCTTACCCGGATTGTTTCTAAGCCAAGCATCTTGCTGGCTGGCACAGTAATTTTTAAATGGTCCATAGACCCCCACATTCATGGGCTGGAGTTTATGAGAGCAATGTGGTGGGAAGGACAGCAATACCACATTGTTTTCTTTAGCTGTTTCGACGACTTCAATATCCAAGTGCGAAGAATGATTATCCAATAATAAGAGCACAGGATTGGATGGAGATGGTTTTACATTGTCTATGAAATGTTTCATGAATGTTTTAATTTCCCCCCCAGTCATCCAACCACTCGAGTTGCCAGCGCCAATGCAGCCTGGAGGACCATCGCGAACAAAGTAGTCCCTATATTTCATTCGTGGGAAAATAAACATACATGGTATCGAGTTTCCCACTGCGTTTACTGCTACGCAAAGAGTGACAAGAGTCCCTCTCTCCGCTGACGTAATGGAACCAACTTGCTTGGACCCTTTTGGAGCCAAAACTTTTCTAGGTTTCTGCACCGTTGTCACGCCAGTCTCATCTACATTCCATATGCGTGACAAAGAAAATTTATATCTATCCAACAAGTCTGCCAGCTTAGAAAAAAAATTATCGACGTTAGTTTTATTAAATGACGTAGCCCTACTTAGGCTAGTAGCCTCTGGCGATCTTATAGACAAAGACTGGTTCCGTTTTAAAAACGCTGTCAGCCAATCAACTCCTGCTTCTTTATTGTCAAGCCATGATTGCGGCATTACAATATTGTACTTAAGTGCACAGGAAAATGCTAGTTGCCTGACATCTTTTGGCGTCAATCCGTAATAAATTTGGCTGCTTTTAATCAAGTAACTCACCAAAATGCGCTCTTGTTCATCGTTGAAAACTTGTCTATTCTTCTGGTAGCCAACTGTGAGAGATTCTATAGGTGTGCCCTTCTCTTTTGCTTCTTTTCGTTTCTTCAAATATCTTGTTAGCGACATATGACATAAACCAAGATCTTTTGCGATACCACGAATTTTTTTAGTTTTGTCCTCTTCCAAAATAGCTGCTGCTTTTTCGTAAACCTCTTTAGATATTTTTCCACGCTCAGTTTTTCTTTTATACGTCCTCATCCTACAAAAAAACAACAAATTATGTAGTTCCAATTATATCAGTCGGCAAGCAGCACTACGGGGCAGGTAGTAACAAATAACAACCTGCCCCGAGCAAATGTAACTTTTAGCCCCAACGCCAAAACTGACATTTCAAGGTTAAGTAGTGAAAACGCAACTAAATATAACTGTATAAACGTAGATTCGTTGCAAAAAGAAAGCATTAAGGCACACATATCACAACACACACATATCTGCTTTAAAGGAAAACAGGTTGTAGACCAATATTACGAAAAAAACGCAAATGTTACTAACCTGCGGTTTTTACGGCAACATGTACGGGCTCCTCTCACAAAAGCGCTGGCGCCACTGGCTCACGCGGCGTGCCAGCCGGTGGTGGCGTGATCATTTGTCTCTTTCTCACGTCAATATAGCGTTCTCTGTTTAGCCACCGTTGCCGCTGTAACTACCTACCCCTGTCACGACCAGCCCCAGTCTCCCCTACTTCCATAACCATAACGTTTGTTTTCTGTGCCATCTCATTCTGTGTGTCCATCTCACTACGATAGCTTAAACAGACTGAATAACAACAAAAGCTTTTATCACGCTATCGGAGTTTCACGATCACTCTTCACTAGCTTGACCACGAACATGCCGTTCCTTGTTCTGAACACCTAGCTTAGCCAGGCGCTGATGTTTCCCTTTTCCTTCCAGGGACAAGTTATTTTCCATTACTTTAAAAACAGAGGAAAAAAAGGTATGACTGACGTTTGCGTAAGTGTTATTGCGTTTGCATGAAGACAAAACATTCAATATAGGTAATTAAATCAAATTGTTTATTATATAGCGTTTTTGTAGCGAAAATCGATAGCTTTAGACGTTGAAGTTTAGAGACCGGAGGCATTGGTCCCTTAATCTGGAAAGTATTTGGCTGGCAGCCAATAGTTTCGACTGACTGTCTGGACGGTAACGTGAACGAGAACCTGCCGACTTAACGTCGCTGTCTCATATTAAGCTCCTGGATTTGCCATTGTTATGATATACCGATGTAACAGTGGAAGACTAAAAAGAAATAATTAAAATTTATCTCATTTTTAATACACAATGTACAAGAATGATAATACCTTCAAGACTATATAGATATCGTCAAGGCTAGATGACAGATTTTGTTGTATTTTTATTATAATCGAAAAAGGTATAATTTTACATTTGAATTTTTAAAAAAATGTGATGTAAAAAATCTGTTTTATTTTTTAATGATCCCAATAAGCGATGGAACTTCAAGGAACGGTATCAAATGTGTTGAAATATATTTTCCAATGTGTGTATAGTCTATCTATCTTTAATAGGATCTTTTTGTAATTAGAGCAATTTTCGTTAATTTTTCTTTATTCCCTTTATGTGATATTTAAAATATTAAATAATTCTTAGGTGTTATAGCTACAAAAAACTTATTATCAAAAGAAAAATGTGTTTAAAATGTCAACTAGCTTGCCAGGCAGACGTTGTTCTGCCCTTTTCGACGACCCTTTGTCGCATATTCGCAAAAAAATTGTGGGTCATTCATGGGCAAAAAAACTATCCTCTCAAGTTGGACCAAACTGCACACGAAGTGCAAATTTTATTAAAATTTAGAAGTATATAGAATATTAGGAGTCCATCGCGGACAAACAACGTGACACGTTATGATTTCTTATATTTACGCGAACACTACACATTGATTAAAACTACTTTTACGGATTTTATCGCGTTTATTTTACTATTTTTTTTATTTTTTATAATAATTAAAAAAAGCTGAAGGTACTCCGGGTTTAACAATGACATCGGGACGTCAGTCATCTCAGTCCCCCGTGACCATGGGCGCTTTCCAGCACCCGAAACGTCGGGAATTAAAAATAATAATAAAATAAACGCGATAAAATCCGTAAAAGTAGTTTTAATCAACGTGACACGTTATTTATATAGTACCCGGATGATCGTTTTTTTTTTGAAATCACATTTAGAAACAAATTACATACTGATGAATAATACTTTATGATCTTATACACATAATAGAAAAAACTGAACTGGTTATTTGAATAAAAATTCATGAGTGCAATTAGTTTAATTAAAATTTTCTTATTTTTAAAAAATACTAAAAAAAGGCTCGAAATAAAAGATTTTCTCACAAAAGAAGGGAACTTGAAAAAAAAGGAAAAAAATCGGAACGAAGACTGGACGTGAACCAAGGCATTATGATTTCGCGACCGCTCGATATCCACTTGAGCTATTACGATCATTAACACAGTGTCACAATTTACCTTCTTATATTGTAGCTGTTTTTCATTGCCTGAAAACACGGACAAAAAGACTTTTTCTAAAAATGGTCGTTTAAAGGTATAGGATATTAAGATTTCTACCCATTTGTAACATTTTGTATTTTTAAGTAGTAATTTCATATTATGTACGGCGTGTTGTTTAGAAATTAGCCATGTTGTCTGCTTTTTAGTGTTATTGGTTTTCCTAAACTTTCATTTATTAAAAACATATAGATGCAGTAACGTTGACTGTGTTTTTTGTCGATATTTTAAATTGGATGACAAAAAAGATAAAATGGCATTGTAGTTTTCACGAATTTTACGTTGCCTTTAATTAGTTGTAGGATTGCGTTTTCAGTTTACAGAGAAAAAGAACCAGTATAAAATTATAGGCTGTGAGCCCATTCCATGTTGATTGTAGTCTTAAGAAATAACAACACATCTGACGCCTTATTCGAAGTCGGCGGTAGCAGTACTTGGGCTACAGCATAGTCACTAATCATGTGAACTCTTCACGTGTTTTTTGATGCTCTAATATTGTAAATCAATATTTATATTTTATGCAATTTCTCACCCGTGTAATGGCTATCTACGTAGTGTAGGAATATCTATTACCCCATATTGTATCACGGTGGGTGTCGTTTTTATATGGAATAGTAATGGATAGTAAATGGATGCAGTGGCCCTTAGACATCCATGTTTATCCTAAATTAAGAAGGAAAATGGAAATGGAATGCCACGTTTCCAATAAATAGAGTTTTTGTTTCTCTACACTCACTATACGAAGGTGCGTGTTTAAGTTCGCGGAATGGGTAGGTAGGTAATAAGTGGGGACGTCGCTGAATTACGTGCTTTGACTAACTCATTATTAGTACAAATACCGGGTTTTATTGTAATTAGATCATTTAGTCTGAGTTATCGTCAACCAAACAAGTCAATCTGGATGAAATAGTGAAATATGGAAAAAACGAGTACCGTGCCGTTATAAAAATCCTTACCAAGTGGGGAAAATCGGTTCAAACTATACTGGAAGAGATGTCATCAGTTTACGGAGACTCTTGTTCAAGTAAAACTATGGTTTACAAGTGGCATACCTGTTTTAAACAAGGCAGCGAGTCACTTGAAGACGACCCACGGCCATGAAGGCCGATCGAGGTGCCCACTTCGGAAATTATTCAAAAAGTCGAAAAATTAATATTAAAAGATGCCCGCCTACAAAAAAAAAACAGCTCGCTGAAATGGTTGGAGTATCAGATACAATCATTTTCAAAATTCTTCATGACTAAAGTTAGCGCAAGGGGTGAGTAGAATGCTCACGCCGCCTCAAAAGCAACAGTGCGTGGAGTGTTCTCGTGCTTTTTTGGACCTCTGTATGGAAGACAAAGATGGATTGTTGGCTCAAATTGTTACTGGTGACGAAACTTGGGTTAACCATTATGAACCTGAGTCCAAACAGGATTCGATGCAGTGGCACAAAAAAGGCACACTACCACCCAAGAAATTTAAGGTGACGCAATCGGCTGGGAAAATCATGGCGACAGTCTTTTCGGACTCCGAAGGAATCCTATGAATTAATTATGGAGATAAAGGTGGCTGCATAACCGGAAATTGCTACGCTTCAATCCTACAACAATTGAAGGAAGCCATAAAGGAGAAAAAAAGGGGAAAATTGACCAAAGGAATCCTTCTTCTGCACAACAACGCGCCTGTTCACAAGCGCCATGTTGCGATGGCTACCCTGCAGAAGGTGGGCTTCGGAATTTTGCCACACTCACCCTATAGTCCTGACCTGGCCCCCAGTGATTATTATCTATTTCCAAAATTAAGAAACGAACTTCCTGGGAAAAAGTTTTTAAGTGATGAAGGAGTAAAGGAAGCAGTTTCGGCGTATTTTTTTGACGCAAATCATATTTTTTGAGGGTACACATAAATTAATTGAAAGATCTGAAAAATATATTAGGGTCGCAGGTGAATATATTGAAAAGGAAAAATAAATTTGAATTTTTTTTCCACTGCTTACCCCCCATTCCGCAAACTTAAAAAAACGCACCCTCGTACGAAACAGTATTATTAAGTTGTTATTTTACGTTGGTATCTTGTGAGAGCGTGGTTCTACCTCAGTCAAGCCGACCCATGTGTGTATGCAGCGTGGCTCTACCACGTATACATCTTCCTAGTAACTACTCAAAATGATTAAAATCTACTAGGCAAATAATGGGGGAGACTTATAACCAGCTGGCGAGCTTTTGATAGAAATGTTATGCAATGTCTACTCTTATATTACTTTTATAGGAGGAAATTATATTTAACATCCAGCGAAATAAACCTAATAAAAACCTTGCAAAATAAATAAAAAATACATAATTGTCTTTGTTAACGTTAGATATGTCTTGTATAAACGTTTGCACTGTCAAGGTTTGAACGCAATTTCAAGGTGGTCCGTCACGCGAGGTCGTAGCCCTTAGCGTTTTGTTATTTTAAGTTGATTGCTTTGAAGGAAGCTTAACACTCATTCTCTTAGAAACTAATAAAATGTAACTAGGCTAGTTATAACCTTATTTGCATGATGGATGACTATTTCAAGTTTATATGGGTTCATAGCAAAACTGTTATTACGGCCAAGTTGAATTCCCATCACAAGCATTACTTGTTGGTTGGTTGTGCAAAATACTGTTTGAATTTTTAAAATAGTTTCGGTTTTGACTAGCCTGATCGTAAGGCGACTGCTGATCATGGTTTCGGGCTCGAATTCCCGGTCGGGCCAGTTATTGGGCTTTTTGCTCAAGAAATTCTCAGTAGCAACTCGGAGTGAAGCAGGCAATGTTTCATTTCTTTGTTCAGAAGGCACACAGCCGTTTTTCCTATGCCTATGTGTGTGATGTCTCTCGTATCGATTGCTGTTCCATTACACTACGAGAGTGAGAGAATAGAGAGTGCACCTGTGTTTGCGTACACACTCGTGCACTGTAATCCTGTACTACGCACAATTCTCCGCCGAGGTTGGCCGCCATGGCCATGGGAATTCGATTTGAAAATATTAACGCCTTTGCTCGTAATGGTTGATTATCGTTTACTAACCATCTTTACTACTGTCTTTTTCTATTGCCATTTAGTATAGTCAGAGAAATTTAATTTAAATGTTTCTTAAATTGACGTTGATTTTTATGAGTAAGGCGTGAGGTGCGTTAAAATAATACGTGTTTCAGCCATATTTGGCTCGTGTCTCCTAGACATGTCGACGAAAATATATAAATGAGATTGTGTCAGCGTTGTCCCACTGATTGAACGAAGTATTTTGCTTAAATCTCTTTTACGTTTTGTTAAAGTAAATTAAACTGGCGCAATATATTATATTCTTTGCTGGCCGCTATATATTCAAACGATACATTGGAAGTAGGAGTTTATTGGAGATTTATTAACTAGCCACTTTTTCAACTCGTTTCCGAATTGCTTCCTTGGCTATAATGTAATGTTGCGTTAAATATTTTTATGCACATTGCATGGCAATTATTATGAAAATTAACTGTTTTCGGTATTTTATTTACTTTGTCTGCATTCTTTACACGTTTTGATTTGATTATGTCTCCAGCGGTTATAAACAGCTCAGGTTTATTTTTCACAAATTTTGCTGTTTGTTATATATATGCAAGAAAGTGTTAGAACTTTTAACTGTCTAGATATTGGTTTGCACGATTCATGAGGGACCATATTACACATTGCAAGTAGACATTTTTTGCACAACGAAAGCTTTATTAATGTCTACAGAATTTCCCACTTAGTAACTAAGTAATAATTATAAATTCTTAAGGCTAGTCGGTTTTATGTAAAGCGGGCAAAGGTATTTTTCATAACGTTGTAAACGTTAATAAGTACGAAGGAATTTGTCTAGTAGCGAAATTAATTAAAAGTTATAGCTATTAGCGTAGTTAGATCAAGTTGTGCCTACTCCATGTACGCTTTAATTTTCATATACCAGCCATTTATCTTCAGTAACATTGCCGGCGTAGTTGAAAATAATTCTAAAGAACACTAGGCGCCTTTTTATTAATTTTTTATTGAACTTTTAGATGTAATCTCAAACTAACAATAAATTCTGAAAACAACTTATTATAATAATAAAACCGCGGTTAACAACCCGCCTGCCACGAGGGGTAACAATGGCAATATTGTCTTCCACATCGAATTTCGGTCCCGACGGCCAGTCTAAACGGAGGCTAGCCATCTGCGCAGGACTGCATAGAGTGTGTTCGCAGAAACTTGTGGACTCAAACTTACTCTCATAATGAGATGGGACAGAAATCCGGTACGACTGAGAATAGAACAGGCGCGGGTCCATCGGCTTTATGTGCTTTCTGAGGTACAGGTGTAAAACGCCGCCAACTTCTCAACCGCTAACAACTCTGGGCTGCTACTAAAATTTTTTTGGCAAAATTTAAGGTTTTCAATCAATTCCAATTTTTTTTGGGCCCGACTTCGAACACTTAAAACAATAAACAAATTATTGGCGGAGTTCTAAATTTGATACAAGATAAAGAAACGTTTTACATGACAACCAGAAGAATTTTATTATATTCATATTTTTTTATACTTAACAAGCTAATGCATTTTATGCCTTATGTTTGAACAAAAAAGTTACGTGTAACTGTTATCTTTTTCAGAAAACAACCAAAAACATTCGCGTTCGACCACTGTTTTTACTCCTTGGATTCCACGCTGCCCAACTTTGCATCTCAGAAGACAGTGTTCGATTGTCTCGGCCGGGATATTCTCGACAACGCGTTCGACGGGTACAATGCTTGCATCTTCGCTTACGGACAGACAGGTTAGTGACTTTTGCAAAGAAAAGTACTTGTATATTTTTCAAATAAATTGTTTAAAATTCTCATTATAGCATATTATTACTTTACTGCACTTGCATTGATTTAAAACTATCTCATTTACCAATAACATACGATAATAATGTACCGACGTTCGAATTTGCTTAAAGTTATCCATTTGACAATAAACATTAATGTTTTGGAACGACAAAGTCAGTGAGCTGTAAGCTGTTATTTTGTGTTCTTAGTTATATTGTACTGTTTTAATTAACGATCGCTTCCGTTACGTTTTGTAATCATCGTTGATAGCGCTCTTAAAGCGTTCAATGGAAGTGTAATTCTGTCGAGGAACTAATTACAAATACTATAAAATTTAATATCTGTTTAACTGTGTTCGTTAGTATCGCATAGTAACCAAATAGGATTAATTGATTTGTTTTATTAAGAACAGCCTTAGGAATGCAGTAATTTAGAACATTTAGAGATTGCTTCTAGACCACTATCTTAAATTTAAACAAAATTTCAATCAAATTAGATTCATATACAACGTGGTTTTTCCTTTGCTCTCTCCGATGGGGTAGCAAATGTATTCATTATTAGATATAACATCATAAGATTATTTTGCAAAACATATAGTGTAGATATTATTTAATCAAGTTTTATTGAGGGGTGAGTAAGTTATGACTACTTTGGGTTTGTCAAAATATAAATGGAAACGATTTTTATAAAAGCAATTTTTTTAACTTTATACTGATACTTAAAGTTCTACTCATAATTGTGTTGTAATGTTCTAAGTCTTACCACCACATTTATTAGGAAACAACAATTTTTAATTACAATACGTATTTGTATACAAGCATTTAATTCGTTTCCCTATTTCACTTGGACGCTTAAACCAGAACTAAAGAAAAACAAAAGCAAAAGTCAAGGTCAAATAAATATAGCGACAATCTAAGCTTTTGTTTCAGTTCTTCACGAAGAATGAAAGTGTTTGCGAAGACATTATTTGTAATGTTTTGCTGAATTGTTTTTTTCTGAAGATGAAACCCTATTATTTTTATTACACTACAAGTATAAGATAAGCTTCCTTTGTAGTCTACAAGAAAAGTTTTCTAATGTTATAATGTTTTTGTAAGAATACTCAACATTTGACTATCCAAAGTACTTGCATGATGAATTATTTAATTCATTCATTAAGAAAGCGTACATTGACACAACACACTACAATAAAAAATATTATTATTAATTATACTTATACAGCCTAAAAAATATATCAAAACATTGTACTGTCAAAAGACAGAGTGTTAATAAATACATTATCATTGGATAACATTGATCGTTTTAAATTTAAAAAAAATTTGAATAACATACCTTAATAATTAAATTAACCGAAATAATATCTAATCAACTTCAGTGCAATGCTCTATAATATAAGAAAAAATTATGCTCATGTCTAAGATTCTATAATAACATATCAATTTTACTATTTCATATTAAAGAGAGGAATTAGAAGAATTTTGGCGCAACAATTTAATTCATTCTTTTAAGATTAAGTATGAGAATAGACGTGGAATTAAGTATGTTGATATAGAAGGAATCCGTATTTTGCTGAGAGCGTTTTATCTGATCCGCATTAAATATAAGGCTTATCGGAACCCAAAGTTTTGAATACCCATCCACCCATCCACTGCTGAACATAGTCCTGTCCCATAAGTTGTCACTTACGAGGATTTTGCCCTAGTTGCCACGCTTGGCAGGCGGGTTGGCTTTTATAATTTTGTTAGTTTTTATCATGAAGATACTGCTATCCATCTCTTGTATCAGTTTTACTCTATTGACTTTAATGACAAAAATACTCTTTTGGAAATATAATAAATAAAAGCTATTCCCTTAAAGACCCATTGTGTAATAAAATAAATATTTATATTCCCCCTTGACACCCTATTGTTATAAAATGTTTGCTTCAGTTAAGTATTGATGTAGATGGGTCGACTCGGCTGAGTAAAGCCTGTGCGTTCTCAGAATACGAGTAGTTATCAAATAAATTATCTGCAGAATGTTGTTGGGTTTATCGTATGTAATTAACGAAAACCAAAGATTTCCTTTCTGTAAACCTTGGAGAGACCAAAAGTTAACAGTCTGACGCACTGAACGTCTGTAACCTGCTCCAAACGAATACAGCTACAGATGCGTTTTACCACTGAAAAAGTCTACACATATGTCACCTATGTATAGTCTATAATTAATACTTTAATTGTTAATTAAGTGAGGGATAATATTTCTTATTTTTAGTTGCCAAATTGCGATCTGTATCTTAATTTGCTATACTCAAATGTCGCTGATTAGGGAAGTGCGAAAATGCTGGCTTCAATGTTGTGCCCATCCGGAGCTCCATGTTCAAATGTTGAAAACATTAACACACAACTAAGGACAATCATCAAAATAAAAAGGCTGTTGATTGGATGTCATAATTGTTAATATAATAATACCAGAGATTTGCTGTTCTCCAAGGTTAGGTGCAATAGAGAACGTCATGTCTATTCGACATTTACTTGCTTACTCATCACCGTGGTACCGAGGAGGCTGTCCTGTCGGGAAATTGATTACGAAATTGATTGCTCAGACTGCACGGCACTTCGCAACTTTAGCCGTTGTTGTTTAGTTGCTATTGGCTGCAATTATATATTTTGACTTATACCTAAGCAACTTGACGCATGACGCTTTGTCTTGTGTTTTTTTTCACATCAGTATTATACAGTCTTGAAGTGGAAGGATAAAAATCGTAACAAAAGTGTTATTTTTCATTTATTTCATCAAAATATATTTTATATATTTAATCCAAATATTCAAAACACAGATTCAAAATAAAGCATTTGTATATTAGTTACATGCGTACTTTACATGTGCGCGCCGCTATATACATATAGAACTGCCGCTATATACAAATATGATTTGCCGGGCCTGACATCCGACAAAATGTGAACAGCGTCATACTTACTTATAGGCGAACGAGATTCGATGCGATTTTTTTACGAACGTAGAGGGCTGGCAAACACCCGACATTTCTTGTCGGCGCCGACAAAAATACAGTGTCGGATAAGTGTGAACAGCTTCATATAAAATGTTCTGCCACTAGAGCAGCCGATTTTCTGTCGGACCCGACACGCATGGGAACAGGCTCTAAGCAGAGAGGAAATTCTATAAGCTAGTGTTCAAATCTTACTAGAACCAATTCCTCCATTAGAAATAAGATAAGGGTTTGCTCTGCAGTGGGACGCTTATAAGCGGTTACTTCTTTTTTTAAGCGACTTCAAAAAAGAGAAGGTTCTATATTCGACGCGTATGATTTTTAAATATATGTTAACCGATTTTTTATTATTGAAGAGGCTTTATCTCAAGACTATATAGTGTTATTTTTCAAAGAGTAGCCAAATTTTAAAGTCAAATTAAAATATCTCTCTAGTGCATTGCCACGCATTTTGAATTTAAAAAATAAAAAGGAAGGAATGTTTAAGATTTTTTTAATTATTATATTTTCACCATTTGTCTGTACTGTACTTATTCTGAACCTTCTCTACAAATTTGGACGGTTATTGCAAAATAACCCTGTATATATTTTAGACGACATTCAGAGAGTTTACTTTTTATAACAACGTAATAGAGACTAATAATTCACTAACAACCTACCCTGGTTTTCCACAGGTGTTTTTTTTTAAGTAAATTTGATTTTTATTGTGCTTAATTCTTAACAAATGAACATATTTACACGGCCTTGAACAATTTGATATACTTATTAAATAAAACATTCATTACAACTAATTAAAAGTCCACTACTGAACAAAGAGAGTCCCAAGATAGCTTCATGTTGTGGCAGATATTATCAAGTAGGTGAAGCGTGTCAACTATGGCAATTATGAGGGATAGTTGTCATAGTTGCCACGCATAGCCTACGAGTATATTTGTTACCGCCCTAAAATAGCTATTTTTAATAATCAAGTTACAAATAGGTAATTGTCCGTTCAGCTCTCCTTGATTTGTAAAATAATAAAAAACAAATACGGAATTCCTTTATTTGTAATAAATAAATATTTTACACCCGTTCATTCATTCATTACATTATACCATATATTAAAAGTACATTGGAGAACATGATGTTCAGGTTGATGATAAGAGGTATATTTGATATATTATAATATTTAATAAATCAAGCACATTTAAAAACTTATTTATTATTACACGTCCGTTGTAATATTTTTGGTTATAAAACTACGAAAGAACTAAGAACTCAAAAGTAGTAAATGAATAATACGCATTAATTTAACTTACTACAAGCGTTGCTTTCTTAAGCATAGATACCTTGCTTGTATACATTGTCAAATGTCGAACATCAATGGGTTTTAAATTAAACTAGAGAATTAGCTTCCCAACAGTATTTTACTTTCACTGATCTTTTAAAGCACCTTTGAAAGACGTTTAGAATTTATGTACTCTACCATAGGGCGTTAAATGATTTATTACCGCGATACATTGGCAGGAATGCTAAAACCCTTTCCTTGCTAAATATGGCTTTCATATGATGTTTATTAAATTTTAATTATTATTTAATATTTACTTAAAAATGTCATACCTATAAATTTAAGAAATTATCGTAGAACGTGTAAACACATCAGACCCCTTTTTTAAGCTGTAATATTGAAATGACAACTGCAATAAAAGCTGATAGTATAATATGTAGTGTTGCCAAAGTGCAAACAATACTTGCTTTAATATCATAATGATCAGATTATGTATATATATATATATATATATATATATATATATATATATATATATATATATATATATATATATACAGTGTGTCCGGTCACCGCGATATTTTAGGTACTTATAATACAGCTATTTTAATATAAAAATACACTACACAATGAGGTCTAATCACCTCCCCCTCTATTTGGCAGCCATTTTGTTTTTCTCTTGAGATATTCTCCACGCGTTTACGAAAAAA